TGTTGTATTTCCTCAGCGACCAGCACGGATCAGCTCCAGGCATGACGAAGCAGATATCGTCCTCTTTTGGAAGGCCAAACAAAGTAGTTTCGCTTTCACAACGAAACACAGCGTCTTCACGACATGGCGGCAACAACAGTACTACAGTGAGAATAAAAGTTATGCCTTCTTTCTTTGCGTGAACATTTGGGCGGCGTTATGCAAATCTTCCCACATCGTGACGTAGACATGTGGGGGCGTGTTAGAACGAGCCGTTTTAGGTAGGCGTGGTTTAATCAACTTTTATAAAGAATATCTCTTTGGATTTGAGACTTTAGTCTTTGCAACTTTACAGATCTTCTTTATGCACCAAGAGCTTGTAACACTCCAAAGAGAAAGGAAAAATTTAAATCGCATCATATGACCCCTTTAAGCCCCGTTTCCACCGCAGGAACTTTACTCAGGAACTAGGGACTTTGGGCCGGTACTCGGTGTGTTACCACCGCAGGAACCAGGATCAAAGGTGCTTTTCCACTGCATGGTACGTCACGGTACGGTTCACTTTTGGGGGGTTTTCCGCTGGGTACAGTACCTGGTACTTTTTTCAGAACCACCTCGGTCAAGTACTCCTCGCTGCAGACTGTAGCACGGTGACATCATGCATTTCGACGTCATGCACGTGCATGACGTAATGCATGTCTTTAGAACGCATGCGCCGTACGGACTCTGATTTTAACCCACCATAGATGGCGGTAATGCTCTATTTAAGTTTGCGAACTGCCAATAAAAACGAATAAGAAGAAGACTGATTTTAATACTGGATGTTTGTAATAGGCGTCCTTACTGTTTGAAAACAAAGAGGAATTCGGTGGAAACAAAAGTCAATGAGCATAATTTATGTTTTCATTACATATTTTTATTATCTTGATGTTGTATATGTATATGCATTAATCATGTTGGTACATCTATAAATAACTAAATGTAGCCTAATGAAATAGGCCTAATTATACTAATTTATCTCACATAGCAACCACAATGTTCACAAAGTGTGTGTGTGTGTGTGCGTGGACACAGAGAGCGAGCGTATGTCATATGATACTGTAAACAGAAGTCTTACCATGGCAGAGACTGCCAAATTACTTTAACTCACCCTTCACTTTACAATAACGTCCTATTAGTTAATGCATTAAATAACATTAACTGAGCAATATTTTTGTTACTGTATACATTAGGGCTGTGCGATATTGAAGAAAAATGTGATATGCGATAACTCATTAAATAATGCAATATTCGATATGCGATACGATAATGCTTAAAGTGTCACATGCTCAGATGAAACAGTTTTACTCAGCTGTTGCTGAGTCAGTTATGTGAACTTTTATAACTATCTTGTGTCATATATATATGGTTATTTGTATGTATGTATGTATGTATCAAGAGCTCCTGTAAAACCACAACAAATTCCTTGTGTTTGCGCACACTTAAGTGGTGAATAAAGCTCATTCTGATTCTGATTCTAATAAGAAAGCACCCCTACAATAACTTCTGAAAGTGAACGGTATGTGTTTTACTCAAGCATTACTTAAAAATGTCATTTTAACATTAGTGTAATCATTTTAACATGAGTTTAGGAACTGAATAATAAAAAGGAAAAATAAAACACTGCTTAGTATTTACTCTTTGAATTCAATATGCACTGATTCTTACTTAAGCTACAAAAGTTATTTAGGTAAGAGCATTGAGTGATTTTCTCTTTGTCTTTTGTTCATGGCCCCAAATATTGCAAGCCGTAGCGATATGCATATTGCGATATGTACATTTGCGATATTTCGATATATTGCACAGCCCTAGTATACATTAATCTTTATTGACGTTAGTTAATATAAATGCAACTATTCATTGTTAATATTAGCTCAGTTCCATTAAATAATATTAACAGGTACTTTTGATTTAAATAATGTATTAGTAAATGTTGAAGTTAACAACAGCAAAGATTAATAAATACTTAAGAAGTATTTCATTGTTAACTAATGTTGACAAATGAAACCTTACTGTAAAGTGTTTCTAATTTATTTATATTGTCCATAAGAACACAGTACCCTATGTGTGATTGTATTTGATGTTTTCTTTTACACCTTCATAATATGTTCATATTCTACATCATAAACATTTATTTTACCAGTTGTTTATATTCCACTTCACATACAATTTTTATATATATTCTTTATATAAAAAAAAGTCTCTTAGGTACTTTTCAGACAAAGCAAATATTGCTTTTCCTTGTTTGAAATTTTCTGTCAGGCACTGTTTAAAGTATTTCTTACAACAAGCAAGAGATAATGCATAACATTGTTTGCTTTAAACTGGTGTACTATGTAAATGCCTTTCTTCAAACCTTATTTTTAACATTGTTTGTTCTCTATTTTATCTAAATCAGTTGTCATAAACTGGAGTGTCTTCAACAAAAACACAAGGAGCAGTCTCGGATGCCATAGTACGTTGGAGATGGCATGAGCGGAGTCCTGTGATTCATCACCAGACCAGGCAAACATCTTCCATTGCTCTATGATCCAGGCCTGACACTCATGTGCCCATTGTAGACACTTTTGGTGGTGGGCAGGGGTCATCATGGGCACTCTAAGCAGTCTGTGGCTCCGCAGCCCCATACGCAAACTGTGAGGCACTGTGTGTTCTGACAACTTTCTATTATGGCATCAGGACCTGCACCAGGCAGTTGCGGGACAGCTTCTTCCCTCAGGCTATCTGACTGCTGAACTGCAACTGATAGTGTACAATACAATCAATCAATCAGACTATACACCGTGTCATATGCTGTGTGTACTGTGAATATTTCTGTGCTACTGCCTACCCACCCAGCACCAGACGTCATTTGGACGTCGTTTTTTGGGCTAAATCAAGTCGGCCCGTCATGGACTTCTTTTAGCCCAAAAAGCGACGTTGAAAATTGGTCTTCGTTTGGTCCGTCGGATTTGGTCCAAATTTAGCCCAAAAAGCGACGAAACACTGATTGTAAGCCTAAACTTCACAAAAACTGTAAACTGGTTTTTCAAATCTGATTGGTTTATCACAGTGTTGTTCCAGGGTCAACAAAAGATGTTGATCCAGGAACATGCCAGTTCTGCATATTATACATGTTGTATACTCTTTGTTTCTGCGGTCAGCACTTTGTATATTGTTTCTCAGCATATTGCGTTATGTAAACTTAATTATATAAATGTACATTGCAATGTCCCCACACACCCCTAAACTTTTCACACATCATTTACTTGTAAATGTTGTTTTGTTGTTGTTGTTGTTGTTGCTGTTCACATACACTATCATATAAACAGCCACTCAAATAACTTTATTATTATTATTATATATATTTTTAAATAAATTGTTCTTGCTATCATCTGATAATTTTAATGAGGTGCTGGGCAAAATATGGGATGGAGACTATGTACTGTTTGTATTAAATTTAATTTCAAACTTATTTTATTGGCATGGTTGTTTTTTTACTAACCTTTTTTTAAATGGTCAAAGAAACAGTACAGAAACATGCACAAATGTAATGCATAAAAATAAATAAAAACAATGATAGAGGAAAAAGCAAAGTTTCACAGAATGATAAACTTCACGTCAGCCTTTAAATCATTGAGTAAGATGCGCATGCGCAGTAAAGTGAGTTACAGCGCATGCGTTTTAAGACATGCGTTACGTCACTTTGCGCATGCGCACGAAGACATACGTGACATCAAAATACATGACGTCACCGCACTACAGTCTGCAGCGAGGACACTCTCACCTCGGTTGAGGTTCCAAGTGAACCGTACCGTTACCAAAACGTGACGTGTAAACTCTGCTGATCACTGATTGGCCGGAGAGAATCGTCACTACCTGCGTCACTGAACTTGCGACAAAGAGACACAACAGAACCACTAGAGTAGTAGGCTTGTTTGAGATGAGCAAAATCTGCGCAGAACTGATCACTGGTGATCACCGCGAGATGCATGCCGGTTAGAAAAGTGTCCAAGTTACTTCCGACTTGCTCTGATGTCATGCTGACGTGTGCCAAAAAATTCTCGCGACGGCGAGGCGCCTGTGTCGGATTGTGCAGTCGGACGCAGTTGCTCTCCACCGACTGTGCTGATCAAAAGCATGATGGGAAATGACTGACCCTGCGGTCCAATCGGAAGGGCTCATCCCTACGCCTTAATCCCTTCAAAGGGTTTACCCTCCGGAGTGAGAGCTTCGAAGGGTTGAAGTGTGTAGGGGACCAAACAACTGTTTCTTGAAGTGCCCTTCTGCGTCATCATCACGTGCCCACACGGAGGCGCCGTCATCATGCAAAGAATCTGCGCAAAGGATCATTGGAGCCCGAAGTGTCCATCAGTTGTACTCTTGGAAATCCTTCATTCCGAAGGGCCATTTGAAGTGACCAGTTTTGAGCACTTCGGTTTGGAACGACGCTTCAATATGGCGGCCATGCTTGTTTTCACTCCGAAGTTCCCTTCGGAGGGCGATATATCCTGTTTGGAACGCACCGTGACTGACGACACAGCTTAAAGGCACAATATGTAATTTTCGCTGCTAGAGGGCGCGTATTCAAAATAAACAAATAGACAAAGGCGT